ATTAGATGGTCACATACTGAAAAGCAAGCTATAAGGACAGTATTAGTAGTAACAAGTTATTTTGATAGGGGAAGAGGAATCTGAAGTGAGCAGTGATCTTTCATTTTTATGTATAGAATCTCTTTAGGTCTCACCACATTGGAATAGTCCCTGAATAAGTAATTCTGAGCTGCAAGCAGGTGCAAGTCCAGCAGCTAGTGCTATGCACCTGGGTGTTTTCCCAGGGGGCTGTTCTTTTAAGTTATACTTGCTCACATTTATGCTGACTGTGTGCCAGGAACTATGTTATACTCTAAGTATACTGCATTTCTTTTATCTCTAGGAGTCATCAATCTTTGGCATTTTCTAATGCCACATGCTGGTAAAGCTAGGAGTGGGATTCAGGTGTTTCTGACTAGCCTAAGATCTAGAGAGTCTAGCAGCAAGCTCTGAAAGAAAGAAAGGCAGAAGTTGGGGAAGGGTGGCTTTGGTGTCCTTCCTGCTTTTGCTCTCTGTCAGGACCCAGACTATTTCAGATGTGTAGGATTGGGTGGGGTGGCCCTTTGGCAGGGCTCGGGGTCAGGGAGCTTGTTTCTCTCCATGAGTAGAGCTGAGTGGGATCATTGATTGCAAACAGGCAGAACAAGTAGAGCAGGAGCCTCCAGGCCCTCATCAAAGGGAATCTTATCTTTTCTTTACCTTTGCCTCCCCTGATAGAAAACCAGTCTTGGTATCACCTAAGCAGAAGACTGTTCTCTCCTTTCTGGCTTAGAGGAAAATAACCATAAGTTAGGGCTGAATATATTCATATAACAAGGAACAAAATAACATGAAAGGGAGAAGGAAAAATTAAGTCTGTTTTTTTTTTTTTAATATTTATTTTTTAGTTCTCGGTGGACACAACATCATTGTACGTGGTGCTGAGGATCGAACCCGGGCCGCACGCATGCCAGGCGAGCGTGCTACCGCTTGAGCCACATCCCCAGCCCAAGTCTGGTTTTTGTTCACCAGTTATTTTCTTACTCAGTATTTATTAATTGGCAATTATACTATCAAATCATGGCAAAAATGGCTATATCCTTATTTTACACAATAAAATAATGCCGTCAGTACATGTTAAATAATTGTCCATAACTTTTCAGAAGAAAAAACAGCCTGTGGCCTTGAGCTCTTTTTCCAAGTTTTGTCTCTGAACCCGGATGCATGAATATATGTGCTTAACAATACCTCTGGGGGGGCTGGGGATGTGGCTCAAGCCGTAGCGCGCTCGCCTGGCATGCGTGCGGCCCGGGTTCGATCCTCAGCACCACATACAAAAGATGTTGTGTCCACCGAAAACTAAAAACAAATAAATATCAAAAAATTCTAAAAAAAAAAAACAAAAACAATACCTCTGGGCACCAAATGCCAAAAAAGTCCCCAAATGCTAACAGGGAGTATTAGTTTCATACCAAATGATATCTTTATTTGTATACATTGCATACATCATTTGGAGGGTGCTTAATGTAATCCCAAGACATTTAATTTTGTACCTAATGGTGCCTACATGCCCCTTATCATGTGCCTGCTCTTAGATATTCTGGGTAGTAGTTTTGTGGGTTAATAGATTCATGACAATAGATTATCATGGGAGAGAATTCCCAGACTTAGGCTTCCCTCCCTGCAGACTGTTTGAGAATTTGATGACTCTCCCAGCAACTACCTTGACCTCACCTGACTCCACCAGTAGGTAGAGGCTTATGGAGCTTTTATCATCTTGGAACCAGGTTAGAACAGGTCCAAAATGGGCTGTTCTGTGTGATTTTTTTTTGTTTGTTTGTTTCTCAGAATTATCTGCTAGATCACTTAGCACACATTGCCAAGTTTTATCAAGTGCTGCTCTGTTCAGCTCAGTGGAAGATGCGCATTGGGGAAAGTGATTACATTTCCTAGCCAGGTACCTGGCATTCAGGCATCCATTCGCTCAGTACCTAGATATTTAGCTCCTTTGTGCCTGACTATGTCCTCTAAGTGCTGTGTGTGAAGATAAGATAGACATGGTCCTGTGCTTATGGATCTAATGAAGGATTCTGTCTTGCAGTGAGCATCCTATAATTGTTGGTATCATCATTAACATTAAAGCTCTTAACAGTGTAACAGTAGTGGTGTCATTTAATAGAATAATGAGATTGCACCTTGAAGTTATAGGAACAAGAACTCAAATTTTCAAGCTCAGTGGTTTGTCTGTATTTCTTTCTTTCTTTCTTTTTTTTTTTTTTTGTGGGGGGGGGGGGGGGGGGGGTGGCACCGGGGATTGAACTCAGAGGCACTTGGCCACATCTCCAGCCCTGTTTTGTATTTTATTAGAGACAGGATCTCACTGAGTTGTTTAGCACCTCGCTAAATTGCTGAGTCTGGCTTTGAACTTGTGATCCTCCTGCTTCTACCTCTGGAGCCACTGGGATTACAGGTGTGCGCCACCATACCTGGCTTGTCTGTATTTCTCTATATCAAACCAACAGACTCTTGAGAATCAGAAAGGTGTTTTATTCTCTGATGGCTGGAAGATATTGGTGCAAAGGTTCATCACTTATGTGGCTGGAATAGACATAACTTTTTTTTTTTTAATAATAATATAACAAAACCTAGAGAGGCTTTACCATTGAGCTATATATCCCCAGCCCTTTTTTATTTTGAGACAGGGTCTTGCTAATTTTGTTGAGGCTGGCCTTGAACTTGAGATCCTCCTGCCTCAGCCTTCCAATCTGCTGGGATTAAAAGTGTGCACCACTGTGCCCAGCAGCCATAACCTTTTTGGGTTAGGAGCTTTGATTTGGGATTCTGTAGTCCAAGGAGGATCCCAGAGCATCTTTTTGGATCCCTAGTTTGGATCTTACTCGCCCTAGATTTCTTTATATTTTTCTTTTCTTTTCCCTGATACTGGGGTTTGAACCTCAATGCTTTACCACTGAGCTACATCCCCAGTTCTTTTTATTTTTTGAGACAGAGACTTGATAAATTGATGAGGCTGGCCTTGAATTCACAGTCCTCTTGCTTCAGCTTCTCAGGTTGCTGGGATTACAGGCGAGTGCCACTGTGCCTGGCTGGTCTCTTCATTTCTGGCTTAATTTTTTTTTTATAAAGACTGCAATATTTTTCATACTGTTAGCAGGGAATTTTGGTTGTATGAAGTTTAGACAGTAAGTTCATTAAAAAAAAAAACTATTGAGATATAATTCACATAACATAAAATTCACTTTAAAAGTGTACAATTCAGTGTTTTTAGAATACTTATAAAGTTGTCCAACCCTCACCACCATGTAATTCCAGAACATTTTCATCACCCCAAGTAGAAACCTTGTACAATTATGAGCCCTTTTCTATTCTCTCCTCCCCATAGCCTCTGGTAACCACTAATCTACTTTCTGCTTCATAAATGTGCTTATTCTGGACTTTTAATATAAATGGAGTCATAAAATATGTGGCCTTTTGTATTTGGTTTCTTTTACTTAATTGTGTTTTCAAGATTCATCCATGTCATAGCACATATCAGTATGTCATTCCTTTTTTTCCCAGAGTGCCAAGCAAATGTTATTTAATAGTTACTTTCATTTCACAAAATTTTTTGACATTTCTACCTAAATGTTACTAGGTAACAATGAAGTGTTTACTTTCAAATTTTTATTATTTGCATTTTCACTTTTATACCTAATAACTGCGGAGTAGGGAAGTGCAAAACTGTCAGTTGTTCATTTCAGAAGCATATTTAGGGGGTTGACTTATTCATAAAAAAATACTTAGAAATAATGCAAAATATTACAAAGTCTGTAATTGTAACTGTGAAAAGCATTTAACATCTTTAGAGTACAAAAAATACTATATTGCACATACTTTTCTCATTCTCCTACTCTAAGGTTAGTAAGTGAAATTTAAATAAAAGATACCACAAATTTAAGGAAAAATCTGCCACTATTATTTTCCCCACTGAAAAACTAGATGATTTAGGATATTTTTTCCAACAGAGTCTTTCAGATGTACAGTTCTTTCTAAATGCCTTCTAAATTCTGTTTTCTGACCAATCAGAGCAAGATAGTAGGTAAGGAGTAGAGTTTTTAAAAAAACCCTCAAACTAATACTGGGTCAGTAGACATTACTTCAGGACAATGCCACATTATTTTCCAAAAGTAGGAACGTGTAGTTTCACTATAGCGTTTTAAGCCTCCTCTGAAGCTTAGTGAGCAAAGATTTAGGAAGACTATAGGGGAGGAACTGGCCCAGTCACAACAGAAAATAAGGCAAAAATAAGATTTTCTGGCCAATCAGGTCAAAGTAAGGACACACTTAAGACCTGTCCTAAAGGTGAGAATAACAGATATATAATGAAGTAATAAGTGGAAGTGGGTTCCTTCCTTTTTTTTTTTTTGCTACTGGGTATTGAACTTGGGGCACTCAATCCCTGAGCCACATCCTCAGCCCTGTTTTGTATTTTATTTAGAGACAGGGCCTCACTGAGTTGCTTAGGGCCTTGCTAAGTTGCTGAGGCTGATTTGAACTTGTGATCCTCCTGTGTCAGCCTCCTGAGCCCCTGGGATTATAGACAAGTTCCACCACTCCTGGCTTTTATATATATATTTTTTAAATATTTATTTTTTTAGATGTAGTTGGACACAATATCTTTATTTTTTTTATATCGTACTGAGGATCGAACCTAGGGTCCCCCTCACATGCTAAGCGAGTGCTCTACCACTAAACCACACCCCCAGCCCCCCCCTTATATTTTAAGAGTTTTAAACTTGTGACTTTTCATTCAGCACTAAGTTATCATAATGACTGAGGCTTTAGAAGCCTTTGTGAACCATTTGCCAAGGGTGAGAGGTGGTGGAGCTCTTAGCTTAAGACTTCCTTTCCTTCCCACCTTGACAAGGCAGTCAGTGTCCTTGAATCTAGGAAGCATTTTGTCTTTATTGTAGGTTTTTCTGTTTTTGCAGTTTTCATTTTCCATATTTCATTTTTTTTCTTTCTTTTTTTTTTTTTTTTTGAAGGTAACAAATGAAGAGGACTTTATTAGAAAATTGGACTGTAAACCTGATCAGCATCTGAAGGTGGTTTCCATTTTTGGAAATACTGGTGATGGAAAGTCTCATACCCTCAACCACACATTCTTTTATGGCCGTGAAGTCTTCAAAACCTCCCCTGCCCAGGAGTCTTGCACTGTGGGAGTGTGGGCAGCCTATGACCCAGTTCATAAAGTAGCAGTGATAGACACGGAAGGGCTCTTGGGAGCTACCGTGAATCTAAGCCAGAGAACACGACTGTTACTTAAGGTCCTGGCCATTTCGGACCTTGTCATCTATCGAACTCATGCAGACCGGTTGCATAATGACCTCTTCAAATTCCTTGGGGATGCCTCAGAAGCTTATCTGAAACACTTCACCAAGGAGCTCAAGGCTACCACTGCCCGCTGTGGCCTGGATGTCCCGTTATCCACCCTGGGCCCAGCAGTTATTATTTTCCATGAGACTGTGCACACTCAGCTACTGGGCTCTGGTGAGTAGATGGGTTGCTGACCTTTCCTGGGTGCAAGGAAGTGGCCATTGGGCTACTCTAGTAACTTGGTGGTGTATTGTTTGGAAAATTTTCTGCCCAGGCAAGATGTAAGGAAGTGTTCCAAGAAGCATGGAGTAGTCAGCTATGTCAAGGATTGAGAATTGCCAATTGGCTTTGGCAATAGAGATGTTTGGTGATCTGGTTAAGACCTGTCTCCCTGGTATGGTGGGGATGAAAGCATGAGCAGAGTGGGAACAAGAAGGAATAAGAATAAGAATTAAGGTTGTAAGTAAATTGAACTCTTGTGAAGAATTCTCTAAAGGGAAGCAGAACACGGAAGTGGAAGCTGATGTACAGTTTCCCTTTTTAAAATTTAAGATTGGAGAATTTACAGATATTGGGGTACTGATGAGAGTGGTTTATTAGAGAGGGAACAAGACAGGTGCAGAAAAAAAAACAGGAACAATAATTGGAGGGATGCACAGGTAGAAGAATTGGCCCTAAGAGCATGGACAGTTCATCCATCAACAGGAGAAAGTGGAGTGTATGGATGTCTTTACAGGTAAGCAGCAGATGGTGTATGTGTAAAAGTTCTTTTGAGCCAGGCCCGGTGGCATACACCTGTAATCCCAGTGGCTCAGGAGGCTAAGACAAGAGGCTCATGAGTTCAAAGCCAGCCTCAGCAACTTAGTGAGGCCCTAAGCAATTCAGTGAGACTCTGTCTCTACATAAAATACAAAAAATAAAATATAAAAGAGGGACGCTGGGGATGTGGCTCAGTGGTTAAGCACCTGAGTTCGATATCTGGTCCCAAAAAGAAAAAAAAAAAAGTTTTTGTGTTTCTATTAGAGAAATCCCGAGTAACATCATCACCCAAGTGAGAGATCATCACCCAAGTGAGAGGTGAGGGAGCAGGTGCAACACAGTGATGGGATGCCCGAAGGATGGCAGCGTGGTTCGTTAAACAATTACATCATTCACCTACTCATTCAGTCAGCAGAATGGATTGAGTGTGCGTGTCATTTGCTGAGCACTAGGGCACTGGCTAAAAACAAAAAAAAAAGTTCCCACACTTGAATAACTTACAGTCTAATTGGAGAGACCACCTGGTTTTCTGTCCATAACAGTTGTAGGCACTGGAACTGGGAGTGCAGAGGAGAGTTGTTAGACCTCATAATGGGATGTCAGAAGAGGTGTTGATCGCACTCTGAGTCTTGGCTAGGTAGAGGAGGGGAGGAGGGCTATTCTAAGAAGAGCAGGTGGTTTCAAGGAGCAAGTTGTATTCAGGGAACTGGAGGAGGCTCTCAATAGCTTCCAAAACTCCATTTCTGTCTCCTTTGCATACTCTACCCAGCATCCCTAGTGATCACATCCCTAGTGATCTCTTTTTATTTATTTATCTAATTATCTATCTATATATCTATTTATTTTTAAATTTGTTTTAATTAGTTACACATGACAGTACAATGATCTTGACATCCTAGTGATCTCTTTTAAAAACAATGTATAATTAAGATATGTAATCTTCTTGCTTGCAACTTGTCATTGACTTTTAGTTTCACTGAAACATATTCTAAAATCCTAAACATGGTGTCCTACCTGTGTCGCTGACATCCTTCTGTAGTTACCTCTTCACTCTTCCACTTTGAGTGAGTGTACCCATGTCTGCTTGTGCCCATGAATGTGTGCCAGTGCACATAATAGACACATTCCTCCACTAGCCACATCCTCGCCTGCTCCACATCTGCCCTCCACCAGTACTGGGGATGGAACTTAGGGGTTCTTTACCACTGAACTATGTCCACATCCCTTTTTTGTGTTTTGAGACAGGGTATTGCTAAGCTGCTCAGGCTGGCCTTGAACTTGTAGTCCTCCTGCTTTAGCCTCCAGAGCTGCTGGCATTATAGACGTGTAATACTGTGCCCAGCCTACACTGCCTTTTCTGTGTTCACACCTTTGCATATACTACTCTGTCTACCTGGACCACTCTGCCCCAACTAGCCATTTGTCTCTCAGTTTCAACTCAATTTCTCTGTGGAGCCTTTCCTGACTACCCCTGTAATGTGGTCCCTCCTATTCCTCAGTTCTTTTACTCTTATCCCAGGGCATCTGTTATATCTGAAATCATTGTGTGTTTTCATTTGTCATTGGTTTTTTCCCATTATTAGAATGGAATCAGCATGAGGGCAAGGACATTGTCTGCTTTATTCACTGCTTGGTCTAAAGATCCTGGCTGAGTGTTTGACACACAGACATGTGCTGAATGAACAGAACTTTTGTGTGTTTGAAACATATCTTATGTAAAGGAGGGGATGGTGGAGCTACTTGGGGATTAGACCATGGGTAGCCATGGACTGAGTTCTCAAGTAAGACAGGAGCCCCTAGAGTTATATGATCAGATCTTATTTTCAAAAGCTCCCTTGGCATCCTACTGGAGGGTGAATTAGAGGGGCTTGTCTGGAGGTGTGCAGGCCAGTTAGGAGGTTTTCCTAGTACTTGGGTGAGAAGAGGTAGGGACTGGGACAGGGCAGTGGCAGCAGGAGGATAGTAGACAGACTAGGGTTTAAAGAAGATTGATCTGATAAACCAAGTACTGGTTGATTGTGGTGGTCTCAGTGACTCAGGACTTGTTGGAAGATGAGAACTGAAATGTTCTACAAGTGGAAGAAGAGAGTCATTAGCAAGTACTATAAGGTAAGGAGAGGAGGTAAGATTGATGGCTTAAGATGCCTTCTGTGACTGATACTCTGTGCCATGTTGGATCTTTATAACTTTAAGGGGTAGTTTTAATTTCCAGTTCAGGATTTTGAAATAACAAGATTTTCAGAAGCTATTTATTTATTTGCTTTGACCATGTAGTATGCTATATGTTTTTAATATGAATGCTAACTAATTACATCTTGGTTACTGAGCTCAAGTCAGTTGGAACCCCATTTTACAGAACTCAGAGAGCTCTTAAATTATTTAATAAAGGAGGTTCTAGCAAAATGGTATTCAAGTCAAGGTCTTTAACTCATAAGTCCAGATTTATTTCTGGAATACCATTGTAGCTTCTTGAAACCTCAAGATAGAACCAGGGCAGCCAGATTTTATGCCAGTAAGAGGGGTGCCAGAGTTGTGAACAAACTGATGATTGGATTTTCTCTTTCTGAATAGCTGTCTTATAGAATTTCTGGTTTTCTGATTGATCTTATTACTTTTCTAGATGAAGGATTACTAGGTAGGAGGGTATTCGGAAAAGGAATTACAGGTTGAGTATCCCCTTATCCAAAATGCTTGCTGTATGCATATACGTGGCCGTATAACCAATGTGATTCTGCAACCTGTACACTTGGAAAAATGAGAATTCATACCCCATGTGATTAAATGTATGATATGTCAAGATCATTGTATTGTCATGAGCAACTAATAAAAAAAAATGCTTGTGACCAAAAGTGTTTCAGATTTAGGAATTTGGAATATTTGCATAGAGTTTACTAGTGGAGTATCCCTAATCTAAAAATCTGAAGTTGGAAATGCTCTAACATCTAATGCTGAAAAACTTCAGAATTTGGAGCATGTCAGGTTTCAGATTTTCAGATTTGGGATGTTGAACCTGTACTTGGGTTTTTAAATGTGCAGTAGTGGTTACATGTTCAGGGACAGAGCTGATATTACGCAGAAGTGGTGGCTCCTGGGTGGCTTAAGGAGAAGCCTGTGACTGATGGGCTGTCCCCAGGGCCTTTTCTGCTACTCCCTTCAAAGGTAGCAGCCACTGGAAAAAATTCAAGATGAGGTGAGTGTAGGGAATGACTACAGAATTTTGGTTACTTTTCTTTACTGTCTGTACCTTAAATTTGAGCTAATTAAGTTTTTTTTTTTTTTTTGGAGGGGGGTGTTAACCAAGGATTGAACTAGGGGTGCTTAACCACAGAGCTACATCCCTAGCCTTTTAAAATATTTTATTAGAGATGGATCTGGCTGAATTGCTTAGGGCTTTTCCAAGTTGCTGAGATAAAGGTATGCACCACTGTACCTGGTGCTAATTAAGTTTTAATTGGAGTGATTTTGTTGTTTAAAAATATTACTTTAGTCCCACACTGCTTATTGAATTCACTTGAACCACAATCTTTGCCCACAGCTTCATCATATAAGACCAGAATTTTCCAAGTATAGAATTTTATTTTAATTTATTTATTTTTTGGTATTAGGGATTGAATTTAGGGGCCCTCATCCACTGGACCACATCCCCAGCCCTCTTTATTTATTTATTTTTTTGAGACAGGCCTCCCTAAGTTGTTGAGGCTGGCTTTTAAATTGGAATCCTCCTGCCGCATCCTCTTTAGAGCCACTGGGACAGTGGCATGCATCACCATGCCCAGCGCAAATATAGAATTTTGTTTTATTTATTTGAGAAGAAGGAAAAAAAATTGTTCTGTTAGCAGAGGAGAAGCCAGGGGACTCCTGTCCTAAAGGCTGTGATTCTTTCTCCCATTCAGCAGGAACAGGGGGCTTTTAAAGAGGTGATTCAAAGGTTACATTCCCTGTGTTCTTTATTGGAGTTATAATTCACTTGCTAATTTGGGAGATAGTCATATCTGAGATCTTCTGGTGCCTTCCCCAAGTCTGGATTACTTGTTCCTGTGGCAGGTGTGTACAAGGACAGATAAATCTACCTAAAATGGGGAAGAAAGGTAATCCTGTTTCCCCTGAGATTAGGGAGGGGTAGAGATTAGGGAGGAGCAGGGAGAGAGGAAGAGAAAGAAACCTATCCTTCTCTGCAGTGGCAGAGAAGCAAGGTCTATATTCAAAGCATGAAGTATTAGTACTGGAATTCAGTGTTAATATGCCATCACTTATAACAGATAATATTATCTCAAATTAACTCAAGTTGTTTTATTAGCAGCAGTACCTCTGCAAAACATTAATAGGCAACAGTTATAAAGTTTACAAGGAAAATGCAAAATGACATTTGTGTAATAGCAATGAACCACAAAAAATGATTTTTATAATTTTAAACCTTTCAAAGTATAGAATTTTAAATACTTATTAGTAGATGACTGGTTAAATATCTCCATATGGGAGAGAATTTCATAACAAGGACAGATACAGTATATTATAAAGTAATAACATTCCAAGTATATCTGGTCAGAGGCAAAAAATGTCTCTAACATTGAACTCCAGTTACCTCTGGGGAATAGAGGAGAGCTGAGCCCAAAGATGTTCACTGTTATGCTTTGACATGTAGAATTTTTTATTTACTCAATTTTTAAAAATTTTTACTTAGTTTTGTCTTTTCCCCAGTACTGGGGATTGAACTGAGGAAAGCTCTTTCACTGAGCAACACTCCTAGCCCTTTTTTATTTTTTATCATGCAACAGGGTCTTACTAGGTTGTCCAGGCTGGCCTCCAACTTGATAATCCTCCTTCTTCAGCCTCCTGAATAGCTGGAATTTGGGGCATCTGCCAACATCCCTGGCTAGATTTTTCTTTTTAGAAAGTTGCTAAGGCTGGCTTTGAACTTCTGATGCTCCTGCCTTAGCCTCCAAAGTAGTTGGGATTACAGATTTGCACCACTGTGCCTGGCTATTTCTTAGTTTTATAGTGTGCGTGTGTGGGTGTAGGTGTGTGTGCACCTAAGAACACAGATTCTGAGGATTGAACACAGGGGATTCACTGCTCATATGTTCCCTTCTGCTTGTATAGATCACCTGTCAGAGGTGCCAGAGAAGCTCATCCAGGACCGGTTCCGGAAGCTGGGTCGCTTCCCTGAAGCTTTTAGCTCCATTCACTACAAGGGAACGAGGACTTACAATCCCCCCACAGACTTTTCTGGGCTTCGTCGTGCTTTGGAGCAGCAGCTAGAGAACAACACCACCCGTTCACCCCGACATCCTGGGGTCATCTTCAAAGCCCTGAAGGTCAGTTGGCTCTTGCCCAAGTGCTTCTCATGGGGTTCCAGTGGGCCGCGAGAACACTCAGTCCTCTAGCTCTCTTGGGTCAGGTAACCATAAGGCTGGGTGGAAAGAGAAGTTATAGAAAGTGGATTTATGTGAGTGGAGTTGCACCTGTCTCATGCCTTCATGAGAAATCATGAATCTCCTCCTGCTAGGCATATGGAGGAGTCTTGAGTCATAGTTAAAAAGTTGGTAGAGCCTCATTTTGGGGAAAAACTAAGCTTTTGAAGAAAGGAAAAAAAACATTATTTCTGGGTAGTTTGGTCCAGTCTTTGTGAGTGGATCTTGGGTTGAGGCTCATTTTGTACTGTATGCTTTTCTTTATATTAACTCAGTTTTTTTCTTACCTGTCCTGGTGTTATGCTCGAATTCGGGACCCCCAAAAGACCACCAGAGACCAAGATTGATGTAAGCAGCAAAGAGGTGTTTATTGCGAGCTAGCTCAGTCCTCCGCGCGCGCACGGCAACTGGTAATGCTGAGAGGCCCAGAGCCCAGGGTTTGCAGCAGTTTTATACAGTCTTTGAGGAAGGCAGGGACTTCACATGCATCATAGCATCTCTTAGCAAATCATCACACACCGCAGAAAAATCATAAAATAACTCTAAAACATGATTATCACATTCACTGGCGAGAACAAGTTAGGTAAGGGTGATTGGTTAGTTCAAGAGAGGGATTCATTTGAAATGATTGATTTAGGCCACGTGGGGTGTACATGCTGAATTACATGGTTTCCCAACATGTTATCAACCACCATAAACTACTGGGAGGATCATCTGGCATCCAAGGTATTTTCCCTGTCTCATGCTGATTGGTGGTTGCTAGGGGGTTGCTATGGGTCCCCACCTAGCCTGACTGAGTCAGGGACACCTGGCACAGCAGATCTCTCCTGTTATTTGTAGATGAACAACTCAGCAGGGTGGGTATGTGCCTAGGAGTGCTCTGTGGGTCTTTCCAAGGACAAGGGTCACGCCCCCTTCCTTGGACAGGCTTTGCTCTGAGGTAGAGGCTGGTTTTTCACTGGTTTGTTTTCTGTTACAAACCAGTAACAAATCTATAACAAAATAGCTGAGACTGGCTAACTGATAAAGAACAGAGGTGTACTTTCTCACAGTTCTGAGGCAGGGAAGTTCAAGAGCATTGTACTGGAATCTGGTCAGCATCTGGTGAGGGCCGTCTTGATGCAGTATAGCATGGTAGGGTATCACATGGTGAGACAGCAAGTGTTCCAGAGGAATCATGCTTTTATTACAAAGCCACTCCCTTGATAACACATTAATCCATGAATGAGCTAATCTATTCATTACCCCTCAGGAGATTTCATCTCAGATAAAATTAACATATGAATGTGGGCATTAAGTTTCTAACACAAGAAATTTGGGGACTATATTCAAGCCACAACATCATTTCAATCAATTTAGTCAAGAAAGAAACTTTTGGTTATCATTATAAAAGGAAAACTTGTATTACTGTTAAAAAATTATCAAGACAAAATCAAAACCAGTTGCATGACAACAATAACATTGCTTATTACATATTTAAGTTCAGGGCACTGTGTATGGAGTAATTAATTTAATCCTTACACCAATTCCATGAGTTAAATGCTATTTATCCTCATTTTGAAGACAGGGAAGTGGCACAGAGCAATGAAGTAATTGGTTACATTTACCAAGTGACAGCAGTTTACTTTAAATCCCCTTCTTGTAACCACAAAGGTTATATAGCTTCTCAGCAAATAAAATAACATTATTTCTTAGCAAGTGACCATTGCCCAATGGAAGGATCTGAGACTGGGACCCAGCTTTTCTTTACTTAAATGGGAGATGAGCAGGTAGGGAGACGATGGATAAACTATAATCTATGTGAGACGTTCTCTTTAATAGATTCTGAAAATTGAAAAAGAATTGGAAAGGGATAATTTTTGCTGTGGAATTTGATGTTAAACAATGTATCATCTATCATCATGTCCTATATCACCTAAAATTCATTACATATGAAGTAAAGTTCACATTTCGGTAAACCCATCTCTAAGCATTATGTCTTTTGTCCTTAAAACAGTCTAATTGTTTTTCTTGTGTATCCCAGTGGTAGAATCAATGTTTTATTTTGAGGTAAAATAAAATCTCATTGTAAAGCACCTTGCTTTCTACAGTCTGTAGCACCTCCTGATGGAGGGTGCTTGCTTCTTCATAACACAGAGCCTGCCACCTCCTCCAAGCCTACCTGGATGGGCTTCTGGCCCTTCATCCATGCTAGTTGCTACATAATCCATCAGAGGCTCTCATGGATTAATCTGTTGCCCTTTCTTTTTCAAATAGCATGTTAGACCTCTCAGATACCCTGGTAGGAAATCACTGTATTGAATATTATCACCTTGCTTCTCCAGTGGTGTTGCTATTCCTGTATTGTCACTGTCATCAGTAGGCAAGAAATACCTAAAATAGTGGCAGTGAAAGTATAGAGTAGGTTAGCTGGTAACTCACTTGGGGTATTGCTAAGTAAGCACTTGGACCACACTGAGCTGCACCTTCAGCCAACTTTATGGTTGAGTTGGGAGCATTAGATTATTGAAAATTGTCATGTACAAATTGGTTAGGATGCATATATGGAAATGACACTCTGAAACCCATTAATCTGTTAGGTTAATAATCATAATGTATGTATATACAGAATATGATTATTAACATAACAGATTAATATTTAGAATATCATATGCATAATATGATAGATAAAAATATATGTGTATATAAACACACACACATTTTTTGTGGTACTGGGGTTTGAACAACATGCTAGGCAAGTGCTTTACCACTGAACTACATCCCTTGCTCTTTTATTTATTGATTGATTTTTGTATTTATATATGAGAGTGGAGTGCATTACAATTCATATTACACATATAGAGCACAAATTTTTCATATCTCTGGTTGTATACAAAGTATATTCACACCAATTCGTGTCTTCATACATGTATTTTGGATAATGATGTCCATCACATTCCACAATCATTTCTAACTCCCTGCCCCTCCCTTCCCCTTCCATCCCTCTGCCCTATCTAGAGTTTTTCTATTCCTCCCATGCTCCCCCTCCTTCCCAGACTATGAATCAGCCTCCTTATATAAGAAAACATTCGGCATTTGGATTTTTGGGATTGGCTAACTTCACTTAGCATTATCTTCTCTAACTCCATCCATTTACCTGCAAATGCCATGATTTTATTCTCTTTTATTGCTGAGTAATATTCCATTGTGTATATATGCCACTTTTTTTTATCCATTCATCTACTGAAGGGCATCTTGGTTGGTTCCACAGTTTAGTTATTGTGAATTGTACTGCTATAAACATTGATGTGGCTGTGTCCCTATAGTATGCTGATTTTAAGTCCTTTAGGTAGACTGAGGAGAGGGATAGCTGGCAATGGTGGTTCCCTATTTTCCAGGGAATCTCCATACTGCTTTCCATATTGGCTGCACCAGTTTGCAGTCCCACCAGCAGTATATGAGTGTGCCTTTTCCCCCACATTCTCGCCAGTGCTTTTTGTTGTTTGTCTTCATACTAGCTGCCATTCTGACTGGAGTGAGATGCCCTTGCTCTTTTTAAATTTAATTTTTAGACAAGGTTCCACTAAGTTGCTCAGGCTGGCTTCCATCTTGTGATCCTATTCCCACAGCCACCTGATAGCTGGGATGATGGTCATGTGCTACTGTGCATGACCAGAACACATTTTTTTAAAACTATTTTTTTAGTTGTTGATAGACCTTTATTTTATTCATTTATTTGCTGAGAATCGAACCCAGTGCCTCACACGTCAGGTAAGCGCTCTACCACTGAGCCACAATCCCAGCCCCAGAACATATATATATATATTTTTTAAAATATTTATTTTTTAACTTTAGGTGGACACAGCATCTGTATTTTTTTTTTATTTTTATGTGGTGCTGAGGATTGAACCCAGTGCTTTATGCATCCTAGGTGAGCACTCTACCAGCTCCCAGAACATTTTTTTTTTTAATTTTTTTAGTTGTGATAGGCCTTTATTTTTATACGTGGTGCTGAGAATCGAACCCAGTGCCTCACACATGCCAGGCAAGTGTGCTACCGCTGAGCCACAGTCTCCCAGCCCCCAGAACATATTTTTTATTTTTATTTTTTAGTTGTAGGTGGACACAATACTTTTATTTATTTGTTTATTTTTATGTGGTGCCAGGGTTCGAACCTGGTGCCTCATGCATGCTAGCCAAGCACTCTACCACTGAGCCACAATCCTGGCCCCCCCAGAACATATTTAAACATGTTAAAATGTTAACAGTGGCTGCCCTTAGGGGAGAAATCAAGGTGGCCTTTGTTTTTACTGTTATCCTCCCTTCTGTCCACATTTTTTATACTTAGCACGTTTTAGGTAAGCCAGAAGGATATGAATTTAGACAAATGTAATAGAAAAAATTGACCATTGAAGAAACTGCCATAAAACCAGAATTCTTATTTCTATAATGATGTCCATTACTTTTTTTTAAAATATTTTTTAGTTGGTTATGAACTTTTATTTTATTTATTTTATGTGGTGCTGAGAATTGAACCCAGTGCCTCACATATGCTAGGCAAGTACTTTTCTACTGAGCTAAACCCTAGCCCCCATGACTTTTATTTTTTATTTATTTATTTATTTTTTAATTTATTTTTCAGTATTCGGTGGGCACAACATCTTTATTTTATTTTATGTGTTGCTGAGGATTGAACCCAGGGCCCCGCGCATGCCAGGGGAGCGCGTTACCACTTTAGCCACATCTCCAGCCCCTGCCCCATGACTTTTAAATATGTATGTGTGTGTATATATATATATATATATTTTTTTTTTCTTTTCCGATCATTTATTTATTTATTATTTTGGGGGGGGGTACCAGGAATTGAACCCAGGGGCACTTAAGCACTGAGCCACATTCCCAACCCTTTTAAAAAATATTTTACT